GAATGTAGAAGGATACATGATTAAACTGTGTAATTTTTTTTTTTTTTTTGTAACTTGATTACTAATATATATATATAAGAATAGTGGATATCAAGCATAATTCTTAAAAAAATTTGAATCTCAATCTTAAACAATGTTGTTTGATTGAATTAAAATTAAATTCAAAATTCAAAAATCTACTTTACTTCTTATATTTAGAAATAAAAATCTAATTTAAAATTTAAAAATTCACATTATTAAATATTGATATATAAATTTAGAAAACGATTATATTATATTATATAATTAATTTTTAAATTTAAATATCAATATTTAATAAGATAAAGTTTTAAATTTTTAATTAAATTTTAATTAAATAAAATAATATTATTTGATAAAAAAATTTCAATTCTTTTAAAATCAAAATTTATATATATTTGTACTTAACCTTTGAAGTCCAATGATACTGGCCATTGTAAAGTGCATTTCCCTTCTCCCTGCACAGCTTTCGAACTCGTCCATGCCAAAAAATAGTTTAAAAAAAAATTCATATACATTTTTTTTTTTCTATATATAAAGTATCTTTTAGAAAATTAAACCAAACAGACGGTGGATTGCAAAAGCTGATTAGACGGCTAACATTAATGAAAAAGGTTGGATGCCAATTATCTAATAATTGGTGCACGCCTACATTTTAATTTGTGCAGCTAAGCATAAATTCACAAGGCATCGAGGAGGAAGGAACCGTTTGGATTAACCTTTTTCAGAGAAAAGAGAGACAGTTTGGATTTATTGTGAAAAGTACCACACAGTGCAAATTGTAGTCGAAATATCAAACAAACTTAAGCTGCACACTGCCTTATTAAGGCTAACAAGACTAGTCATCCTGTGGTCACATCTTTTTTCGGTAGCATATTAACATTTCACAATTTCATTCTCTTTGTACTAGAAATCAAAATCAACTATAAATAAAATATGAAATTTTAATCACATAAAAGTTCTGGGTTAATTTGGACAAAAAAATTCAATAATTTAAGACATTAGAGAGCAATCCCTCTCTCTACATAGTATAATTGTTATAAAAACTTATTCTAATTCATTATTTTATATTACATAAATAATTAAGATATATGTTTATTTCAATTAAATACTATAATATTATAATTTGGTACATACCGAACCTAAAATTAGAATTCTCTTCTAAAAACAAAGTCCAAGGATTATGAGAATCACAGGGTCAAAATTCTCACCCTGCATATGTTGCCTCTCTTTTTCACTTTCATGCGTCGGTTTTACTTGAAAACCATTTACTTTATTTCATTCCTCATCCTTTCATTTTCTCGTGTCTCTATGTGTGAGAGAAAGAGAAACTGCTACTCTATTTAAAGCTACTATTTCTACTCCTCTCTCCCACCCTATTTTGAATCTCCATTAACAAACCCTTCACCCTTCTTCAACCTCACCACACCATCGCTGTTATTGCCTCCCACCATGTCTCAATCCTTCAACACTACTTCAAAGTTTTCACCTTTAATCCCCAAAACCAACACTTTCTCTTTTCCCATGACAACCCCTCCTTGTTCCAACTTTGATGGACAAAGTAATGGCGACCAACCCTCGTCGAGTTCGCGTTGGAATCCGACGCCGGAGCAGCTGTTGGCACTGGAGGAACTCTACCGACTTGGACTGCGGACGCCGACTGCCACACAAATCCAGACGATTGCCGCGCGGCTACGTAGGTTTGGGAAGATTGAAGGGAAGAATGTCTTCTACTGGTTTCAAAACCACAAGGCAAGAGAAAGGCAGAAACGCCGCCGTGGAGTATTAGAAACTGCTTCTAAAGATGAGGAAGCAGAAGAACAACGTGATGTTCATGATGAAACCTTGGGAAAGAGAGAAACAGGTACAACAACCCCACATTCTCATATATGCATACCCATATTCCGAGTGCAAGTTATATAATAATGATAATCCCTAGATTTAGATTCGAAAACTTTCAATTAAAAATCTCAAGTTTTATTAGAAAATCTTTAAGATGGTCTTATACATAGTGCTGTTTATTTTAAATGCTTTAATTTTCCCCAAAAAAAAAATGGAGATTAACATAATTTAATTTTTGTTGTTTCAGTATTTTAATTATGTACTGGTTCGAGTTCATATAATTGAAGAAAAATGGAATTTAATTTCTCGGTGTTTTATTGCAAGTAGGGTTGAGAAGGACAGGTTATGAAGCTGAAGAGACAAAGACCAGGGGACCTCCTTCGAACAGCACTAGACATTCAGAGGTCTGTATATGACATTTTTTTTGTCTTTTGTTCACTGTATATATTAATTAACCATATCATAATCTTCAAATCTCTAATTGAAATGAAATCTTTGAACCCAATTAAGGGTTTTTGTTTGTTTGATTGGCAATAGAATTTTTTTGTTACCTTTTCAATTTTATAAAAAAGAGGAAACTTTTTGTGAATTTTTTAATCTTAATGCAGATGATATGCATAAAAAATATATTTAATTTCCTAAAAGAAAATTATAATTAAGCCATATATATAAAAATAAGCCAGCCCTAATTACTTGGATTTGTGTAAAAAAAAGTCATGGGGTTCAAAAGGAAAGTCAGTGTAAAGAAAAGAAGAAAACCAAAAAGCTTTTGTTTACATGTTGGAAAAAGAAGAGGTGCAAAAGCTGCAATCCTTACTTTCTGTTGGGGCTGTTGTAATGAAATGGCTCTGAATTTTTTTTGGACTTTGGTATGATTTTACTCCAGTATAATAATTTAATGTCTTTATTTTATATAGAAATCACATTGATCCCCCTAATTTTATCTTAGGAATCTCGTTCAAATGCAGGGATCTACAGCAGCAACTGCAGAAAGTGGACCAAATGGGTGGATACCATTGCAGGAGAGGGAATTACATCAGAAGAGAAAGCAAACCCTAGAATATAATTTGTCTTATTCTCCTATTTCCTTCATAAACCTCATCAACACAACTCCATTAGACCTTCTAAATTCTTCACCTAAGTCCATCCACGAGAACTTTACCAATCTTGAAGAAGAAAACAGAGAAGATCAGACCCTGGAGCTGTTTCCTCTTCAAAGCAGCATACGTGATCAAACCGGCATTAACTTTGGGAAGAAACTAGACACCCAATTTCACATCACAACCATAAATCGCCACACCAACTTCACCCCAAACCAGTATATTGAGTTCCTCCCTCTCAAGAACTAAAGAAAGTAGCAGAGGAAGCAGCGCTAGGTAGCCTGTGGTTAGAATTAATCGATGCAGTGGAATTTATTACAAGATTTCTATTTCTGCAAAGGAAGTTAATACATTTTAGGTTGTCTTTTTGTAGGAAAGTAGTGTTTGTGTCATGCATGGTACAAGTAGGATAATGAACAGCAAGTGTTATGTGTGCATGGGAAGGTAAGAGGTTGCCTTAAAATGCATTTGGACCATGTGGTTAATCCAAGGTAGGGTTCCATCGTTTTCTTTATGAGTATAAAATGGAGATAATTTGTGTTGACAGTTTTGTCTATATGTTGAGAGGGAGAGATGGAGAGGCAATGGAGATGTAGGAACGAGGAAGAACTTGATGGTGAAATGACCTAAATTTTGGAGTTGATGGTGAAATGACCTAAAATTTGGAGTGAATATCAATGGCGGTCTCAGAGGATATGTCAGGGAAAATTTTGGTTTTTCATATGTATATTCAATTCCTAAAGATTCCAGACAATTAATTCCATTAGCAACGATAATACACAATACAGAAACTGTGTTTGCCGCTCCAATTCTAGGCAAAATCATTTTTACCCTTAGGCTTTCCACTTTTTAATTGAATTCTTATACCTTAACATTAACTTAGTCATTGATATTCAAATCCTCAAAGAGGTTTTTTTTATATATTTTAATCTTAATTGCACATTAAAAGTCAAGTCTTTCTACTAAAATTATTAATATATTCATTAAAAATATTTTAATAATCTTAATATCATAATTACGTTTTTAATACATAATTTGATCTAAAAAATACGGTTTTGTTGTCTCAATATTTACTCATCATCAAGTTTTAGTTTTCGATAATAATGTCACAATATTTTCCAAAAAAAAAAAATGTCACAATATTTATCTACACCGGCAATGACAACACATATATAAACCTTATACACTCATCGATGTCGGACTTCTTACATACTAACAACAACCCATCACGTGAACACATAAAACTCAAATCTCTTTCTTTACCCTTCCACGTCTGCATGAGTATAGCTTGAAGCCAACCTATAACTTCAAATAGGAATGAATCACTCTGACCAGGAAATTATTGGTTCATTTTTTAATGCACTCAACCATTTTGAAAGGAAGCGATAGCCCAGTAAATTGTTAATTAAAATTTTTTTACTGTATATAGGAAAAAGTATTTTACATGTTAACTCTCCAATCGACTTTTCAAAGATTTTTTTTTAGAGAACTTGTTTAAAAATTTTATTTTTAAATTAATATTTTAAAAAATTAATTATTAAATTAAAAATTTTATTTATATAAATTATATATGTAAATTTTTATATTGATTTAATAGACTTAATTAGTTTTTTAATTATATAAAATTTAATGTCATTAAATATATATTAATAAATAAAGTTTCTTTTATAAAAAAATTATAAATGTTTGATTAATATAAAAAATCCCATACATGAGTTATATAAATAAAATTTTTAATCAAATAGTTAATTTATAAAAGATATTAATTAGAATATGTGTTTTCAAATAAATCCTCTAAAAAAAATTTTGAGAAAACAATCGTACACTAAACTAATCTTATATAGATATTTAGAATTATAACCCAACTGATCCTATGTCTCGTGGCAAATCTAGTAGCAAGGGTTAAAGGTTACTGTTGTTACACCCAAATCGCAATTGGAAGGATTCCAACTTTACATTTTATAAGTTTCAAGTTTTACTATTTAAACCAACCCCAACGGCTTGATAGTTAATATTCTCACATTCTTAATCCTGAAGATACGAAGGATAGACCATTGACCAAAAAATCATGGACCAGCTGTAAGACATTTTATTCGTCCTTTTTCACTTGTGAACCAGCCGGACATTCATCACAAAATCTTAAACAAACACACAACAAAATGGGAAAACATTTTCCCAAAAACTTTTGCACAATCAGACCCTTCACCATATATAAGAAAGGTGGAGAGAAGAGATATATCACTGAAACTTTTGCAGTGCTCTTATCACTGAATTTCTGGTGCACCATGAAAATGCAGAGCAAACAGTGCAGAGTAATGGTGAATCAAGGTGCGCGGATTGCCGAGGAAGCCGACCGTGATCTAGTGAAAAATCCCTGGATGCAGCCTGCATTAATTGCCCTTTGGCCAAAAATGGGAGGCTGCCAAACTACGTACTCCCCTCTGGTCTGGCACTGTCTCAATAAGACAACTAAAATCCCGCATCATTAAACTACTTCAGACTAACACTTGGTTTTTGGTTTGGTTCCCCTACAAAAATGAACCCCATCACAAACATGAACAGCTACAATGTTTCATTCAAGATGCATACGCTCCATGCAATTATTGCCTCCTCATAATAATCTCCAGAGGGTACTGAAATCCAGGTTTTGTCACATTGGGCTGCGTTTACCGTTTCACTTGTTCCATCCATATTCACTCATGAAAAGTAACAGTTCTTAGCCATCAACCATGGTTCATCTTCCAATTATAGCTGAAACAAATTATTGCAACCAACTTATGAAAGGAAGAAAAGTTGTCAGATGGGGTTTCTTTGAGAGTTACAGTTCGTAAGGCTTAGATGACCATTCCTTTTGCTAAAAAGTAGCATGCATTCATTTGAAATCATAATGGACAAGGACGTGAATGTTGCATTATGCAAAACAAACCACACAAATGATCGTTAATCAACAAGACGATGGAATAACGGAAATAAAGGAACTATCATGCTCAACCATTCCACTTATTCTATTATTAATCTATGGCACAAATCCTATCGTACACATTTGACCATAAAAGCTGCGACTGAGTATCAATGAATTTGCTTGACAGTTGAGATACCCACAATACTACAGTAGACTGCTGCAGGTACCAGATTTAACATCAGGCTTGATCAAGTCACATACAAAGGCTCTGGCTCTAATTTTCTTCTGATCCTGAAGGGGGCAAAAAAAGGACAAAATATAAGCACTAAGCAAATAGACCTAATCATTCTTCAAAGTTAACTAACATTCAACAGTGGAGTTCAAGACTTTGAGGGCTAGCAATCAGTTTATTGCTAGTGGTAGAATAAACAGTCAGGCAAAAATGGAGATATTTGGATTGGGTGCATTATGTAAGCTATATGAGATTCATAAAGAAAGTTACCAGAGAAGGATAGAATGGTTCCTCATTAGCACTTCAAAATGCTAATGTAAAACACAATGTATAGCAGAAGGAAATTATGGATCGAGAACAATATAATGAACACTGAAAGTAAAGAAACGATAAAAATAAATAAATAAATAAGTGGACATGAACTAACTCACCAATTGTCTTCCAGCCACTTGCAGCCATCAGTATCCACAACATGCAAGCTATAGGCATGCCTTGATTTTGGGGAATGATTTTCAAAACTACAATTCATAATATGAAATAAAGGAAAGAGTGAATTCTTAGGCCACTAAGTTAAATTAGTTTCAGGAAACTTCTTTTAACTCACCTTTGATGAATAAGATCACCGTGAATTACAATCAAAGACCCAGCTTTCATTTCAATAGGCACAAAATCTTTCTGGTCATAGGATGGAGAAGGACGATCAAAGGAGACTCCCTGTTCACCCCTAATGAACCTTCTAACAAGCCCATCTGGAAACAACACCAAAGTGCAAGTTCATACTAGTCAGCTTTTGCTAGATCTTTTAGGTTGAGGAAGAAAGGAAATATAGCATCTGGAAGTAGGAAAACTACGTTTATGGGAACCAGGAATGGCCCATAGGCAACCATTAGTGATTGTTGCATCTTCTAAAGCCAACCAAAGGCCCTTGCAAGTTGGTGGGTCAGTAAAAAGAAATGAGTTATCCTGGTGTGGCAATACTTCACCCCCAATACCTGGTTGCTGTGAATTAGAATCTCAGAAATTAGAATATCCATATAAAGTGAGAATGTGATAACAAGTATGCATAAGGAATAAACGATCAAGATGAAATTACCAATCCAGGATAATTAATAATGTAAAGTTCCTGATATAACATTTCGGTTTTGCAATCATAACCCATCTCTAAGTTAATATCACTAAGTCATTATTAATATTAAGGGTTTTTCTAAACTGTGCCCTAAGGGCACCTTTTTGTCATAAATGTATATAGCAAAATGTAAAAGCTAACATTAATTTTAGTGTTGGTGCCAAGTGGATGAATTTAATTGGACAGTTGATAAATTAAAGGTTAATTTTTGCCTTTTCAATACAAATTTATGACGAAATGGTGTATTTATTACACCACTAAGGGCATACATTAGAAAAACCCTAATACTAATATAGCAACAAGAAAATAATACAGTAACTGCTAATTGCTTAAACAGCAATAACATTCAATCATGTCAAAATGGGTTCCAGTTTCCCAACCAAAAACCATAAAAGCAGTATCAGGGCATCAGATAGCCACCAATTATGAAAGTGCATGGTACTTGAAGTTTGGAATTAGATAATGAAGCCATAACAAATACCCAAAACATAGGAATAAGATCATGATCCATGGTTCTTCTCTAAACATTGTTACAAAGATTGAATCAGACATTTAGGGATAAAAGTTCAAAGTTACCAATAAAAGAATTCTTTATCAGATCACTATAATTCCATCAGGAAAATGAAAACAACAATTAAGAGTCTTTTCAATTCTTCCCTGAGAATGTTACTAACTTTACTACCACAGAAGATCCACCTTAAAAAAGTACCTTAATAAAATATAAAATGATCAGAAATTAAAATGACAAAAAACCAGAAGGTCAGATAATATACGTAAAGAACCATCTTAAGTTAACCAAAGATCTAGAACCAGAATTTTGAAGCCCTGAAAGCAAATGAACAAATATCTACAATTCCACCTGTCTGTACGTGCTGAGAAAAACTACACCTGTCTGAAACCTAAAGTGAGGTGGTACTCACATGGATCATCCTGAGTTAAGAAGTTCAAGAAATGAAAAATAGAAAGGGCAAAACTAAAGTTTTCGGGATAGAAATAGTGAATAGTGAAGCAATTTTGGGTACTTCCTATAAACTTCATGCTTTTATTCTATATCTCCTTTTCTTCTTTAGTCTTAGTGGAGCAACCTTTTTGTAAATATATGAAGGAGGCTACTCTACAACACTTCTGCCCTTCCCTTTGATTGTAATTTGTATAAAAGAATATATAAGATGGAAATTAAATGAGAAAACCATGAGAAACACATAAATATACATTAATTTATAGTTGGTTCCCTTCATTATTTTATATATTTGACCCTTGTATTCATCCTTATAACCATTAGAAATTCAGCTACTGAATTCAAGAGTTAAAAGGAGACAGATAGACATAAGAAAGAGCTTTTATCATCAAATTTAAAATGCCACAGAACATTATAGAGAACATTATTTCTGATATATATATATATAGACACACACACACACACACACATATATAAAATACCTTAAAGATATACATGGACTGCATGATCGCTGGCCTCTTATAACCAAAGGAGAACAGCAAACTTGAAAATTTTTCAGAGCAAGTGAATTCTTTGAAAACTGGGTCAAGTTCATGTAATGCTGTATAAAAAATATTAATTGTAAGATTAAATTCAATTGAAGTGTGATTAGAAATCTATATCATGGCACCCACAAACAACATCCACTAGTCAGCATAAGCTTATCATGACAATAAAGGACACAAACAAAAGAAACGATGCCTTTCAAACCATACCATGCCCAACTTTATTGATAGAGAGTTCCTTTGATTGCTTCAATTTCCCATCATCTCCAAACGCTTTTTCTGCCAAAGTAAAAAAAGAAAAAGCACCAAAACTTAGCAATGAAAACTAACAGCACACTTTAGAAAGCACCAAAAAGCACTTCATACATTTCCAAAAAAATGGAAATTGAAAAGCAATCCGTGGATATCAACAGAATAAAACCAATTAAAGGAAAAGTGAAATTGAAAGCAATAAACAATAATTCTGCACACCTTCGAAGAAAAATGAAATCTTTTCAGCACTTTCGTAAAAGTATTCATTGGTCAGCTTTAGCTACAAAATGCCCATCAAGAGATAACGATTTAGTTTGACTTTACAGGAAAATGAAGCTGAATCAGGTTACTGTTATGCTTTAGATGAACAGAAAAGGCAGGGTAAATTAGGACAAAACCTGGTTTTTGGTGGAGAAAATTGAGGCGGTGGAAGAGGGGTCAAAGCCTTGAAGCAGTTGCTCCATTCTCTTCCGCAGAGCGTCAATCTCTTCAGGGCTGGCGAAAGGTTCGATCACAAGATAGCCTGAAACAAGAGTACACCACATGGATTAGAAAACAATAGTTCCAGAGGAATAAGGCCCCATGTTATTGGTAGAAATCGATGGTGGTGGTGGTGGTGGAGGCGGGTGTCTGACCTTGGGAATTAAAGAAGTGGAGTTGGTCTGAAGTAAGATTTCCGACAATCTCCATGGCGGTGGCTTTTGGTCGTCTGCAGAAGCTATCGGCGGTGAGGGAGATTTCGTTTAGTATGACTTTTATGTACGAGACTCTCCCAGCTATTCTTCTGTTATTTATCTCGGAATTGGATCCGCAAAAATATATATATATTACAAAACTTTCACGCCCAGTGGGACTCGAACCCACAATCGCCTGATTAGAAGTCAGGCGCCTTATCCATTAGGCCATGGGCGCAGTGCTTGAAACGGTTTGCCAACATATATTTAAATTAATTAGCTTCAAGTAATAAAATTCACAAATAACCCTTGACCAATTTTATATTAGTAAAAAAAATTAGTGTAAGCAATCATTGAGTACGGGTAAAAAAAAGGTTAAATGCTAAATTTGGTCCCTCAACTTTAGTGAGTTGCACATTTTTGGTCCTTCAACAATTTTTTGCACTTTTTTGATCCCTCAACTATACAAAATGCACTCCGTTAATCCTTCTGTTAATTTGAGCCGGTAACTCGGCCACATGGCATTTTTTATATTTTTTTTATGACATGACGAGCACAACTTAAAAAGATGCTTATCTGGACTTCTTTTTTTTTTTTTATGACATGTCATCTTCTTCACGCCAAACACCTCCAATGGATTCCAATTGCCTGCAAACTGGTCTCTCGTCTTCACCTTTTGCAAAATCTGCAAAATCGATCTTAACCCATTTCTTCTTATTCTTTGAATGCTCTCTCATCTCCACTCCATTTGCAAAATCGATCTTAATCCATTTCTTCTTCTTCCGTGAATGCTCTCTCATCTCCACTCCATCTACAAAACCAATCTTAACCCACCCATTTCTTCTTCTTCTCTTTTCTCGAGAAAACTTGAGCTACTGGGTTTCATTGAAACCTCAAACCTGACATATCTTACCAAATCAAAATAATCTTTCAATAAACAATACCAATCAAACTCTAATCGAATTTCAACAAAAATACAATCAAACTTTAATCAAATTCCAAAAAAAATGCAATCAAATTATAAATCAATCTCCAAATATATTAACAACTGGAAATGGAAATCGAAAGAAGAACGAAAAAACAAGAACCAAGCTTTCCCAGCAAAGCTGGGTTTGGTTGAAACCCAACCTTGTTGGGTTTCGGCGAACCTAGCCTTGGCTGGTCACGAACCCAGCAAGGCTGGGTTTCAACCGAACCCAGCAAGGCTGGGTTCGTCGAAACCCAGATCTGCTAGGTTCCGATGAACCTAGCCTTGGCTGGTTGATGAACCCAGCAAGGCTGGGTTTCCACCGAACCCGAAAGAAAGAAAGAGAAAAAAAGAAGGGGAAGAAGAGGGATTGGGAGCGTGAGGGTGAGGGTGAGGATGAGGGTAATAAGGAGGGTGAGGATGAGGGTAATAAGGTCTTTTTATATGTTTTTAATTAAAATATGTATATTAATCTACGTGTCATTTTTATTTATTTATATAACATAATTATAATATATATTAGTGCCACATCATCAAAAAAATTAAAAAACAATGCCACATGAAATTATTTAACTGCCACATCATACTTAATTGATGGAGGGACCAAAATTGCGCAATTTTTAGAGTTAAGGGATAAAAAAAGGCAAAAAATTGTTAAAGGATAAAAAATGTTCATTTTGTAAAGTTAAGGGACTAAATTTAGCATTTAACAAAAAAAAAAAAAAACACAAACCAAACACATAATGTTAACTACAAGAAAAATGTAAGTACACTTTTTCTTTTTTTTCTTTTTTTTTTTTACACTTTTTAACTTGACTTAATTATATAAAAAGTATTTAAAAGAGACACTGAGTACGCTACGACTTCTCTAACTATACAATTTCTCTTATAACCTATATAATAGTTAACATGAAATATAGAATTCATCCACTAATTTAACCTCACATTAAGTTGATTATAAAATTCTCGTAACTTGGCTTGAATTTAAACACATAGTTAAAAAGAAGTGCTTATTACTTGATCAAACTACAAAAATATGACGAAAAATTAATCACACCATCATTCCCTGCAACCCAACAAGCTACAAGATTTACGTGTAAGACCGACGGCTTATTTTCGTAGAGGAATAGATATAGATACCCAGCAACATGGAGAAAGAAAGAGGAGCAAGAAGTGTACAAAAAAAAATGAAGTACCCTGATTTCTGATTAATTGTATACCAAATTGGGTCAGTCTCTACATTCTTACAAAAGCAGTTCCAACTTCAAACTGCGACTAGTGTACAAACATGGGCAAACCAGGGTGTCAAAGAATCTGAATTCTAATTGCAACAGCTTGTTAGACACAGCAGGCAGCCCCTGCGGCAGTAAACGTGGACCACTGTCCAGTCAATGTCCGGGGTAACTCCGGTGGAAAGATCCTTGTTTCTGCATTCTCTGGCATCATATACAAAAAGATGCAACCCCCCCTGACTCAATCCCGGGTGAAGTAACTGTGTCAATAGATCAATGTGACCTACCTCTGACAAAATCATCAAAGCTCCCAAAACTGAAGTGTGTGCCCTCTCCTCATAGAGAGGGAGGAAAGAATGAAAGAATTACAATACACAAAAAAAAGGGTTAGCATCAGCATGTGCCCACCAAATTACAGGAATAAGAAACACTCGTCCAAATACTACTCCAATCATATCATGTAGCTGATGCTGATCTTTTTTCCTCTGATTTGTTTGTTCGGCACATGCAATCAGGACACGGGAAGGTATATATTGAATCATTTGGCCTTTTCAGCTCAAACCCCTTTGAGTCACTGTGGGACCGAATACTCAGCATTTGCCGCTTGAAACTTTTCCACCTGAGAATGAGCAGAGTGGTAAATAGAATGTAGCCATTATGATTTCCATTTACCAAGAATAGAGAAACAGTGTGAAAAAAAAGACCACCAAACAACAAGATTGACACTTGAAAACCAAGGTTTAGCAATCAATTGCAATTTGCAAATCATCACTCAAAGTATATGGTTGAGCCAAAAAATAAGAAAGAAAGAAAGTATTCAGCAGCATTATTTTCCTATCATCATGTTTCGAATTATCTCATAGAACTTGCAACAGTGACATGGTCCATAGAGCATTGTCACCTTTTTTTTTACTTTCCATCCTGTTTGAGACACTATATAAGAGGAAAACAATTAACATTTTGGCTTGAATCCCAACAAATCTTCCATTAATTCAATTATATCAATGCTTTTTTCTAGAAATCCATAGGTAATAGGAAATTTGAAGTAGAGGCAAATTTAACAACAAGATAGCACATACCCAACGTTGGGATTATCAAAGAGCAATGCTAACTTTCGCTTGTCTGGCCTAATTGTCTTCGAGTGCCCTCCATACAAATATCTCCTGTGGCCCATCAGAAAATGAGGGAAGTTCCCACCTTGAGTTGTCACAAATACCTCGCTATGAAGACAAACGGTATAGTCTATGGCAGCCATCCTGGAAGAGAAGTTCTGAAAGCAGCAACTCAAGTCAAGCATTGAAAACCTTAAGAAAATACTATGGAGGGGAAATATAGAAACAAAACCCATAAAATCCAGAGCCCAGACCTTAAATGGAGCAAGTTCCTCTGGGGATGTGAGCATCTCTTTTGTTTGCATATTTGGAAACATTTCAAATAATGGAGCCATTGTTCTCTCAGCATCATATATCTTGCCAGATGCCAAATAGATATAGGTACTGTTATCAAACCCCATTCCTCTAAGCATCAAGCCAACCTAATACATCCAAGAAAGCATTAAATGGACCATATATCAAGTTTATTATACCTATACTATAAGAATTTAGAATTAATAAATACAACTTGTGAGCATCTCACAATTGCAGACACATTGTTGTTTTTCAAAACACCAAAAATACAAAGAAGCAAAAAGATGTCATGAAAGAGTTAATATAGCTGGGCATCTAAGATAATGGACCATGAAAGAGTAGCTTATATTACCTCCAAAGGAGTAAGAGGACATTTTCCATTGATCCTGATTGCTCCAGGACGTATAACTCGGCCAGGTTTTGTAAATTTCCCTTTCCATCCTCTCTCCCTTGCTGCTTTCATATCTTCCTTCTCTTGCTCTCCACCATCAAATACACAGCAAGAGAAAGCAACCATATCCTGCATAACAAGGAGAATAATGTATACTTCAGACAAGACTTTACGTGACAATCTCATGATTAGTTTTGAAACCTGCCCTAGCCACACAACCTCAAAACAGAAGAATTCTCACGACTAGAAGTCATCCCAGGGATGAAGAAATTAAACTGAAATGCTACTCACTTGAGAAGAAGAACTAACCTCCTCAAAGCGAAGATGTACAGAAACATACTTGCCGCCACTGTTTGCACTTCTCTCTTTCATCCTTGCAACCAGAGTTTCTCCTAGAGTCAATATAGGACTTGAAAAGCGTAAAGCTTCATAATTTGCCAAGCACCTAAGTCTCTGGACGGGTGGTGGAGCATCAAAAGATAATCGGTTTGCAAAAGGTGAAATCCTAATCAGCCTGGAAGTCAATCAGAAAAAAGTTATCACAAAATACAACAAAGTGCCTATCATCCCTTATTAGCTGATACATATGCCTAATACAACATACAAACGTTTATGCAGATGAATAACTGATATAAAGGAAAAGTAAGTTCTTTGGTGATAAAATGTCACCCTTAGCATGAATCTTTTTCTTTACCAATATATCAAAAGTTACCAAGCCCAACTTGAATAGGGAAAAAGTGACCATAATTATTTAAACTCACTTTTCTTCAAGAAGCTTTGGTAGGACTGCATCCTTATAATACTGAACAGATGACCAAGCTTTAATTCTAAAATTGTAGACATTGGACAAGTTGTGGTCAAATCGTTCCATTACATAGCCAGGAATCTTGTTAACCACTTGAACATCATTTTCCAAGGTATGGATGAAATACTCCTCATCATAAATATCTTTGAATTTGCTGCACAAGTAAAACACACAAATAGGTTCAAAATGAAGACAAACTGACTTATAAGACCTTATGCAACAACTAAAATTTTCTGGGTAAAAGGCAAGCTAACGATAAAAGAATGAACAGAAAATGAGACATAGTGTACGTAATTAATGAATAAATAAAGTAAGAAAGGAATACTGAAAATTACCATTTAATTGTATAAAGTAAGAAAAGAAAATACAAGGTCTGTGTCTTCAACTGCACTCTGTTATTTTATTGCTACTTAATCTTTTACCAGGAGGAAAATCTCACTAATACAAATTGGTCCCCATTTTATGAATAAATATGCACCTTTGATTGAAGCTCAATTGGTAGGGTGAATGATATCCTCCATTCTGGAAAGATGAGTTCAACTCCTCCCACCCTCAATACTAATAATAACAATAATTAAATAAATATTGCTGAGGTTTATGATTTGATCTTTTCTAGTTCAAACAGAGTAGAGTCCAGAACTTAAACCAGAATTTGTTGCCTACCACCTAAATAACATCCCACAAGCACAGTTCCAGTAATTAATAAAGCAGTTCCAAAACCTGATATTGTCAAATAACAGTATTTCAGTGATATCAAGACAAGTACTAAAAGAATTGACATGGGCAGAGAAGAAGAAAATGCTCTTTGCCTAATGAAGGTGCCTCATAAAACAGATACATTAAAAAGTACATCATTATAATTTTATGCTTCAGTCTTGCAATGAAATCAGTAGAAATCCAACAAACAACATAATATTTTAACTATGATAGAAGCTTACAAACCTAGGATCTCTCCATATGCTATGGTAATGAAAATTTGGGATCACAAGTGTTGCGTTAAGATAGCCTGCCACTGCAACAGCATTGCATATCTACAAAGTAACCAAATAACAATGTAGAGAAGAAGAATGTATAAACAAACTAATTGTGAAATAGACAACTATATATGAGAAAGTAAACCATAAATGCAAAAATATATATAATGAAACTAATGAAGAATAAAACCAACCGATGTTCTCTGTTGATTCAGTCCACCATTTGCCTCAACATATATGTAACCATTTGATTCAGGTAAACCTATAGTTATATACAACAGCACATTTTAAAATTCTATAGTTATATACAACAGCACATTTCAAAATTTCGATAAACATAATTTACAACCAAGAATCACCACATTCATCTTACAAACACAAAATCATGCATGCACTTTTAAAGGGGCAGAACAAATTAAATGGTGAAATCTATGATAATTCCATACCCCCTGAAGACTTGTTTACACATGGTCTCCACTGGCCACCTTTATATGAATTTTTCCATATGGTTGAAATCTACAACAATTTCAAAGGCTTTGTTAAGATATATCTGAAAATTAAAACTTAGCATCAGAAGTAAATCTCAATCAACTTGGAAATTGGAATAGCACAAAAGCCATAATGTGCAACTATTGCAGTAAAGGATAATTAGAGGGGACAAGGCTGGATCCAGATGAAAAATTAAAAATTTATAGAATTATTTCAAAGTTTGACAAAAGAAATATGAACTCAAACAAATAAAATAGAAACACCCAACACATCTACTTCTGGTTCTGACTCCTCATAGATGAAATGGTAAGAGAATTTTGCAATTCGATCAAAATTCCACATCACAGAAAACAACCTTCAATTGGCAACAAACGGGGATTGGGATTGCATTCGATTTCCAATATATCAATGCCCATGAGATCCAAAGAAGAAAATCAACATAAAAGCGAGAAACCGCCAAACCCACATTCAAAACACCAATGATCCATCAAAATTCACCACGAAAACAGAACCTAATAAAGAAAAACAAATCCCACAAGAATCGACCAAAAAAACATCACACCCACATCAAGGGAGAAAAGAAAAACCTACCGCATCGGCAGATGAATTATCCGCATCCATTTCCGGTCGGAGCTTGGCATATAGCTGGGGACTCCTGTAGACGGAACCGGGTGCAGGGCGATGAGTAATAATGGGAGCCCCATCGAAGGAAACAGTGCCCATGTAAAGAAGCATCCCGGAGATGTAAATAAGAGGTGCGAATAAGAAAATTCCTTGGCGGCGGAGAAGAACGGAGAGAAGCAACCACGCAAGCCGGTGGGCGAGAGTCCGACCGGGCTGGAAGGGAGTAAAACGTCCCCCCTTGGAAGAACGACTGTGGCGATACCTGGGTGAGCGGAGAGGCGAGGCTGGTGGCGACGGGGTGTTGTGACCGCTACCGGGTAACCGATTCTTGGCATGCATTTGATCGTTTTTTTTTTGGGGGGGGAGGGGGGGGTGTTTTGTGGGTTAGTTTTTGTACGTCATAGAGAGGTGTGTCCCCTCCCTGCGGTGTTCTCCCTCTCTCCGGCCGTCTGTGTGAGAGAGAAACAGAGAGAGAGGGGAAACGTTTGTTTGTAGTGATTCCAGAGAGGGAGAGCACGTGCTGCTGTGAGAGAGGAAGATTTTAGGGTGTTTAGATTCGGAATAAAACTGTTTATGGTATTACCCTTGGACTGAATGAATTTTCCTATCGTATTCAATGTTTGAACTTAAAATATTTTTAAAATATAGAGAAAATTAGGGCAATATATATAGGGGTGAGTCTTTATTTGCCTTTTATTTTTTTAAAATTAAAAAAAAATATTTTAAAATTATATTATTTTAATAAAATATTATTAAAAAGATTAAAAATAGTTTAACATATACCATTAAAATAAGTAGTTGTCTTTTTTTAATAAGAATATTAAAATAATATAATTTTGAAGTAATTTTTTTCTTAATTTTTAAAATGTAGGATAAATAGATACTTTTTCTATATGTATCTATATATATGAAAAAAAATATATATTAGTTATATCTAAAACAATTTAAGCAAATAATTTTATATATAAAGGATTGAGGGAAATTATGATGTCATGATAATTAAAATATCAAGACTAAAATATTTTTAATAAATTATTATACAACAAAAATTTATTAATGATATTTGAACCATTTTAGAGTGGAGAACATTATGATTTTCATTTTTCTTTGTATGATGTAAGGAGCAACTAAGATATACTAACTACATCAAAAGAGGGAAGAACAAAAATGTAAAGTAAAACAATAAATACTCTGATAAAATATGAGAGGTTAAGGTAAGATATGAAGATTTAAGAAAAATTAATGAAAAGTAAAGCAATGGTAAATGAAAGAATACAAAAAATCAATAATGCTAAAAAGTTTTGGTTTTTATGTTTTAACTAAAAATATTTAAAATTTTTCAACTTATAAAAATTATTTTTTATACATTATATTATTTACATATAATAAGATATTAGTTAGGAATTATAATTTAGATTATAATTTTAAAGTTATAATTATATTTAATAATTTTTAAAAAGATAATACAAATGAATTGTGAGAAGCGTGAATTTTGGATTAAATAAATTAATATTGTTGTTATAAGTATTAGAAGTGTCATTAGGAATGCGGGATGCCCTTTATTAAATCTCACGTAAATCCCATGTTCTATTCTATTTATAATGGGGTATGATGAAGATGTTTGAACTTTGAAGAATTTTCTTAAGATCCAACTCATTTTAGTTGTTTGCTTGTTGAAAATCTATACATGTTTGATTGCATATTCATCTTCTTTCAAGCACGGATTATAGCACAATTATTAAAGACAATGTCACCATAATTCAATAGGTACAAATTAAGGTCATCATCATAAAACTAGATGGAAGCATAAAACAATTTACATAAAAGTTAAGATCGAGGGTAAAGTTTAACTGTTTTAATAACTTTTCATATCAAAATTTCTATAATCTTTAAGTGTTTAAACTAAAGTTATAAAGTTATTAATAGTAACCATATTAAAATGTTAGGAAAGGACATGAGAACAGAACATAGTAAAAAGGAATAAGGATGACTATATATAACACGGCCATGTTTTATTCTTTGGCTTAATTGAATGGATTAGAAAAAATAAATGGACACAAATGGTGCCTTCTCTTTCTTATTGCCATTAGTATTAAATTTAATAGCAAGTTGTTTATTTTAATTATCAAAATAGTCAAAATGGAGGCCTGGTGACTTGCCTTGAGGGGAAAGGCTTGGGATCGGTTGCGTGCTGCGAGGATACGCGTGTTTGGCAACACAACTATGTTGATTCATGGTAGGATTATACATGGATTTGCACAGAATTTTCAAAATCTGAACTGGACTAACAAATTCAATAAGTTTGATTTCTCTTTTTTCTTTTTCTTTTTCTTTTTTAACGAGTTTGGACAAACAGAATTTTTGTACAATCGATTAATTTTAAGAATTTACATCGCTTAAAACATTAATAATTTATTTGGTTTGAAGGAATATAAATAAAAGAAAGGTGAAAATTTCTCTATTGGTTAATAAAAAATTAGAAAAGGAAGGGGGCTTTCTAAATTAAGAGTATGGGAGTGGAGGGAAATTAAGGAAAATGGAAAAATGTCATATCATTTTTTTTATTCCTAATTCTCTTTATTTCCCTCAAATCAAATATATTATTAAGAAAATTAATTTTTTTCAAATGCTAGATAAAGAATTAGTTTGTGTTTACACCATAAATAATACTCAATCTAAATTTGCCAAATCAATAAGATTTTACAGTTGGTCTAAAATTAGTTTCCTTAATTACAGTCCAAACTGTAGTTACTATGGTATACTAACGCCATGTGTCCAATTAGGACTCTATGATTGGTTTGAAATGTGCCATATCACCAAGGTGCAGTTGATCTAGAACCTAACTTGGTGCAATTCGTAGTCCAAACCAAAGGTGGCATGGAGGTGGGGTCCCGCGTGGCAAGATAAGATAGATATTACTTCCTTTAACCAAATTTTATTTGAATGAGATGATTAAGAGAGATTTTAGAAAAGGATCAAATTACGATTAATTAGAGTTTGTGAAAAGGCCTCTGAGTAAAAATAAGAAATTGTTGCTACCAAAACATGGAAATAGTCAAACATGCACAGAAAATGGTGAGAAGTGGACCAAGAAACATGGGAAACTACTTCAACATCTATGTAAAAGAAGAATAGAGGAGAAATCAATTCTTCAGGCCTGCCCCTCTCAGAAAATTGCCCAGCATAGATCAACTTCAATTCCAAATTAGTTTAGCCAGCTTTCAACATAAAATCTAGATTGTGATTCAAAAGCCTGTTCTTGTCCATAAACTTAATTTGAATCTTTTGTTGGAGGTTTGTCTAACACAAGAAATTTCAAAATCAAGCAAATTTGTAGTGTGTTTTCTAATTGAAGTTTTGAAACTAGATCGATCTTTGTTTTCTTAGTTAATGGTTAGCTTTTGTTGTTTTATTTTAGTTCATTTAGTTTCTACTATTAGATAGATTTTCTCTTGTTTTTATTGTAATCGTTCTATATTTTTAGCCTTCTTAAGTTCTTCTTATAAATTCAATCTACAAATTTATCAATGTTAAATTCCACATCTAAAATTGTAATTAATTTGAATTTTACAATTGTTTTCAAGTTATGTTAATGAGGTCATGTTTCTTTATACATCAAAGCTCCTATTTACTTCCATCTCTTCTTTACATTTCTACTATTTAATTTGTAAATAAAGTAATTTAGTCAGTTATGTAGTTGTTTTTGTATGTCGACAAATTTATTTTAATTTACATGTATAGGTCGTTAGTCTACGTAATTCTTAATTAATATCTAAGTTTATCATCCTTTTAGTCTCGTATGTGTTTTAACTTTTAAGAATGTTTTATAGCATTTTTAGCTTTCATCTACCTTTTAATTATTATGCGTTTAGTAATTTTTTAGTTGTTTGCATTTTAGTTATTATATTTAGTTTTTTTTATTAACAAACATATTTAATTAATCCTTAATATAAAAAGTTCACGATGATTCTCTATAGCATTATTTTTAACCCATAGAAAAGTATCCCTCCATCCTATCAATTGTCTAATATGAAACACATCTCTTTAATAAATTAACATTCTCCTAGTTATCCATTTTATAGATCGATCATTTAGAAGAAGATGGTCATCAAGAAAGGTATTTTCTTACTTTTGTTACAAAGAAAAGTGATACCCTTAAATACATTTGCTAGGTGACAGCCCAAAAGGAGGATTTCAAAAAAAAAAGAAAAAAACAGTTTGATTGAGAATAGATAACGTCTCTGGTCCGAATGAGGGCAGAGAATTCGAGTATGGGTTTGGCTGGTTAAAAACACTAACAAAATTAGGGTGAACCGAACAAATATCCATCGCCTACTTTCTAAAAAAAATTAAACAAATATTTGTATTTGAATACATTTTTTTAGTATTTTTCTTGGTTTTTCTATATGTTTATTTTATTTTGAAAGAGCAAAAAATTAAAAGTTGAAACATTGATCGACAGAAATGGGGGAGAGTGGGAGGATAAAAACTACAGTACTGATTTCTGAGCGAAATGTCTCAGAGATGGGAGAGAGTGAAAAATTGATTGAGAGAGATGGGGGAGAGTGGGAATATAAAAACTACAGTGGTGATTCCTGAGCGAAATGTCTCACTGGGAGAAATTGTGAACTGACATTATGATATCATAGTTGTACTTGCTGGGTACAACCTGGTAGATAAGGACCACTGAAGATAAGAAATGAAGGAAACGGGATTTATTTATTCAATTAGGCCGTATTTGGGCAATCTTGAAAGTTTCATAAATCACAATGCACCAATTTAGTTTGCTGAAGATGGGGGGTACCCCTGCCAGAGGCCACTTTGAGTTTGATTGCAAAGCTGGAGTTATTTATGCTTTATTTGATCACAATTAACTCCTAACTCCGGAAGCAATGATGTTGAATATTTAAACTTGGACTGTTAAACGATAGCAATCTTTAATTTTGTACAGCACTATTTAGTTGGGCAAGTGGGTCATGTTTCATCACTGATTCCTGTCACAACTGTCATGTTTGGTACATAGGAAGGCATGTGAGTCTGAAATTTTTTTTTTTTTGATCAATCGCTGTATCCGCGTTTATTCATGAAATTGAGTGCCGGTGGTGCAATGTAAATAGTGCAGCCCTTGCGCAATCAAAGGCTGATTATTCTTTGCCAATTCTTAAGATGAAAGGCTTGGTTCTTTGCTTTTGATTGGAGATATTGGAAGTGTCTTACAATGGTCAAGACAATGTCTGCAGCCGTCCATACGAGGAATGATCCTGTCAAAGTTAGATACCCGGCAGGAATTTGATTTACTTGCCAATGAATCCTCCTCTTCTTGAAAAAGTCTACAATACAGTCTTTATCAATTGTACCCAGTATTGTTAATTAAATGGTGATATGTGAACAAAAGTAGACCTTTTATTTTATTTTTTTATATTAACTTTTTAATAAATGAAAATCATATTAAATTTTAATTAATCTGAATTCGAATCACGTTGAATCTCATATAAAAAATTTTCTCAAGGTACATTTTTTTATTCATAAGATCTGAATTCAAAATTTCATTTAAAAGAAATCGAATTTTTTCTATTTGAATCAACTAATCATTGATAAAAGTAAACCTTTTAATTTTTTATCAAAAAATCATCTTTCATTCTTTAATTCATTTTAGTTGCATGTTTTATAATTTAAATTTAAAATCTCTTACCTTAATATTATCATTAAACAAGTATTTCCTTTTTTATACTCATTTAAAACCGTTGTAAATTATTATGTATGTGTGTCCACTTTTAATGAAGTTTTTTTTATTTTTTTGTTGCTGGAGTACTTTTAATGATGTATTAAATTAATGTGAACAAACAGTTTTTTAAAAAAAAACTTACCGTGTACAACGTGGTACACCAATTGCTTGGAGGATTTTCTTTGAATTTAGGTGCTAAACATGCGTGAACATGTTTTGCTTGCGTTGTGGCACGGTTGCGTAGTAAATTAAACTTCAAGCCGAAGTTATCTTCCCTCGTGTTTGCAAACGACATTTCCCATTCAAGCTGAAGTTTCCTCAAATTTAATTTAAAAAGTTATGGATGTGCAGAAAAATCACAAGCAAAACCAGAAACTAAAATAAGAGAGCCAGTTTGATGGCATAGTCATGTGCTTTTCTCTGGCTCCCCTGTAGAGTGCCTCGTTCCATGGGTAAATTATTGCTTTTATAATTTAAAATCCCCACTCAAATGACTTATTCGACACAAGACGTTGCCACCAACAAGACCCTTAGCCGCTTAACTGAGTTGGTACCTAATCATTTCAAAATCTTGATTATGGAGTCAAGCCAAGGGATTCAAACGGCTGGCAATGCTATGCATGCTAAATGCTTAACTAATCAGGGGGCAACCAAGATTTATAATTCTATTTAGGAAAACTAACTGGAGCAAAATTTATGCTGGAAAATGACCATTTCAAATGATACAAAGATTTCAAAGCAGAATCTATAATAAGTGGTCAAGCCATTTCCAAAACAGAGAGGGGACATCGACAAAGGGATGGCATTAGCCAAAGTAACAGCTCACCAGACTAACAAAAAGGATTCCCTTTTTTCAGTTTTTCTCCTTTAGCAGTTTAGTAGTTTAGCTTACATGAGAAACCAAAAACTTTCTCTAAATTAAACAACATGATTTATTGAATTGAAAGTTTGAAACCCCAATTGAGAAGGATCACCTCAAGCTTCATACAATTAATGAAGAACTAAAAGTGGTGATTGGAGAAGCCATGATCAAATCAACCTTTGAATCAAGATCCAATGACCACCCCCCCCAAGAACCCAAAAAAGTTCTAGAAACCCTTTTGAATTTGCCCGGAAGGTGTTCCCCAAAAGACCAAATACGCATCAAGTTCAACTGAATCAATTCAAGAACTGAAATGAGGCAGGCCTTCAATCAAAGTCCCATAAACTGGGGTGTCTAGCAGTACCTTCAAGTGAATCAAAAGCTAATTTAAATTCAAGAGGAAACACCAAATTCAACAGATGGGCACCGGAACAAACAGCTTGGGAGCATCAAATTCCAAACTCTATAGATCTCTAAGACTAGAGTGAAAGAAAGAAAGTTCTTAGCTTTAGCTTCCCACCAAAAAAAAAAGATAACACATAAAATCTCCTCATTTCCTCCATGGATTAACTATTACAGAACCAAAATTCCTTTCCATTTCAAGCTAATAGGTCTACCAATTCTGTTACCTGGTGGTAAGACAATAATTATTCCAGAAGACAAAAACAAAAAGCATAAAAACACCTCATTTCTTTCCCCCTGGTTTTCTTTTCTTATCAGCTGTTGGTGCCAAGCGCAGCTTTCGCTTCCGAGTAAGAGCAAACTCTCCAAATTTATGACCAACCTTATCTTCAGTGATCTTGCAACGAACATGAGTCTTTCCATTGTAAATTCGTACAGAGCAGCCAACGAATTCTGGCAAAATTGTAGACCGACGTGACCAGATTTTCTTGTTATTAAGTAGATCCTTCTTCCTCTTCAGTTTCATCAGGAATGCATCAACGAAACTGCCCTTCCATAGAGGTCGAGTGTGAACAGTTCTTACTCCCGAGCCCACTGCCATCACTTTCCCCAAGTTGAGCTGTTTTTCAAGTTTCATCAAATCCACATTTTGATATGGGTAGATACATAGACATGTATATACCCAGATGAAAATTTAAAGCAGAAAGAAGGTATTATTCAGTACCTTGGTGGATTGATCGGGGAGATGAATTCCGGCGGTGGTTCTGGAGGACTGGAGGAACCCACCAAGGACACGGTTGAGTGATGGAATTAAACGATTTGCCATTAGTTTTTCTCCTCTAGATCAAATATTAGAGCTTTCTGCAGAGCAAATACTAACTTGGGAGTTGAGACAGATGAGAGGGAGGATGATAGAATTAGGGTTTTCAGGTCATGGTGTTTGGGAAAGTAGGGATCAGTGATCATCTCAGCGATTTTGGATTGGACCCAATGTCAAAGTTGCAAACATGGAGCCCGAAGCTAAAGAGAGACCTTTCAGGCCCAATTTCGAGGACATTCGGGGTTAGGCCCTGAGCTTAAAACACTGTTCTATTTGGAATATATATAGTATATCACCCAAATTCTAGGGAGTTTACAATAGAAAGTGGTATGTCAGATCTGAAATAACAGGTTGCAGTGGAGCCTAATTTAAACAAATTTGTGGGTCCATCAAGATCTTCCAACCCTTCTCAGAAGATCACCCGCAAAAATACCAAGACTAAAGGTGGTCCTGCCCCAATTACCAAATCCACCAAACAGAACCCGCCTAAGCCACATGAGGCCCCAACCCCTCGTAAATCCCAGGCCCAATTGTCTCAGACTAGTCTAGCAAATATTGTTAGCAAGGTTGTACAGGATTCCTCGTTAAACACCTCATGCATGATGCTAGCTACTCCACAGATTGCTCACACCATTGTAATTAGTTTTGGTTTGGCAGCCCAAGGCACGAAGACAGTCTTAGACTCTAGTGAGTCAAATGCCACCCTCATACCTTTGACAGATACTTTACTCTTAAGCTCTCAACCTATAAACTCACAGGTTGCAGCTCGTAAAGAGCTCACTCCGATTTCGATTGCTCCTATGGAGCAACCGACATTACCCCCTTCTCAATGAAGATTATAACATGGAATAGTAAAGGGGTAAATCATAGCCCCTTTCATCGAGAATGTAAGGAGATGCTTAGGTCCCAACGGCCAAAAATTATTTGCTTTCTAGAAACTAAAGCAAATTTTAATTCACATGCTATGAATTTCATGCCTAAGTTTGGTTTTGACAGTCAGTATCAAATCTTGACTACTGGTTTTGCAAGAGGATTATAGTTATTTTGGAAATCCACTACTGTATACTTGTCTGGCTTTTCTTCTTCGGCACAAGCCATTCATTGCACAATTAACAAAGGGGATGGCGATTGGATATTGTCTTTAGCATATGTTAGACCTCAATTACACTATAAGGAAGCATTCTGGAATGATATGGAATTTAGAAGTGCTTCTATTACCAATAGTTGGGTGATCATGGGTGATTTAAATGATGTTATGGCTTCGAATGAAATTTTTCCTAGGGGTACAACAGTCTTCTGTCATGCTTCTCGATTTAAACACACTCTTGATAGATGTAATCTATTATCTCAAGACTTTCTAGGATGTAAGTACACTTGGTCTCGATCTCAAAATGGTAGGGTGGTACTATGAGAGAGGCTAGATCATGCATTGTTTAACATGGAGGCTAAACAACATTTCCTAGGGGCAAAGCTTTTTACTCTACCAAGGACCTGTACTGATCATCACCCAATTCTCCTTTGTCTGGTTACTATTGCCACCCAAGCGCCTAGCACGAAACCACGACGTTTTGAGGCAACATGGTTGACTACGGATGATTTGAAGCAAATATTCTCACAAGCCTGGGAAGGACACTCATCAGACTTACAAGCTGCCATCAATGCCACGAGTGAAGCCTGCTTGCAATGGAGTAAAGACACTTGTGGTGATATCTTTAGGAAGAAGAGATTACTAAAAGCTAGATTGGTTGGATTACAAAACTCTCTAGCTTATGGATGCTCATCTAGTCTGCAAAATTTGGAGAAGCAATTATTACTAGAATATCAACAGGTATTATTTGAGGAAGAAGTATTATGGTTCCAAAAATTGAGGGTTGATTGGATTTCTTCAAGGAACCGCAACATTTCTTTCTATCACATGTCGACCATCATGAGGAGATCTAGGAACAAGGTTGGGGCATTAAAAATAGATGGGGCATGGATTGATCATGCTGACACTTTAAAGCAACATGTGCGGGATTTTTTCATACAACTTTTTAGTAGGAGAGACACTCAACCGATAGTTATAGATACCAGTCATTGGCAATAGCGAATTGCAAACTCTAATCACTATTTATTAACTAGGCTAGCGACAGAGGCTGAAGTTAGATTGGCGTTATTCTCTATGAAGGGGCTCAAGAGTCCAGGTCCAAACGGTATACAAGCTATCTTTTATCAGCGCCACTGGGAAACAGTGAAAGGTACCTTTGTTGATTTTGTCAATAACGCTTTAGCTTTAGGTTCCTTTGATTCTGATTTGGCTAAGGCCCTAGTAGTATTGATTCCTAAAGAAGATAATCTGGATGTAATCTAAAAGTTTCGGCTAGTTAGCTTGCTTAATGTTGCTTATAAAGTTTTATCAAAGGTTATTGTGGCTCACCTCAGACATTTTCTCCAGTAGCTTATTAGTCCCTACCAAAGTAGTTTTTTAGCGGGTCGAAGTACGACAAACAACATTCTCTTAACTCAAGAAGTAGTCCATTCGATGCAAAGGATGAAGGGGTCCAATAGCGCTATGTTATTGAAGATAGACTTACACAAGGCTTTTGATAGTGTTTACTGGGCCTTCCTAAGAATTGTCCTCTTAGATGTCAATGTTCCAAACTCACTGGTGGAGTTAATCATGTTCTCTATCACCTCAGTTAGACTTTCAATGCTTTGGAATGATGAGCCTTTACCTTTCTTTACCCCACAAAGAGGACTCCGACAAGGTGATCCATTGTCTCTATATCTATTCATTATGGTGATGGAGAAATTGGCATATCTTATTAATCAAAAGGTGGCAGAGAAATTGTGGAAGCCATTCAGAATTTCACGAGAAGGTTTATCAGTTCATCACCTCTTTTTTGCTAATGATCTCATGCTTTTTACCAGAGCTTCACATCAACAATTGGATGTAATTTTAGATTGTCTCCATTCTTTTGTGGGGTGCTCAAGTCTAGTGTTGAACTTGAGTAAATCTAAACTTTACTTGTCTCCAAACATTCAAGCATTTGTAGTGAACTCGCTCAGCTCCAAATGTAATATTCCTCTTTCTACAAATTTGGGTAAGTATCTTGGAGTTCCCATATTGCATAAGAGAAAGATGGGGTGTGATTAACATTTCATTTTGGAAAAGATACAGTCAAAGTTTGCAGGATGGAAGAAATCCCTGCTCAGCCTAGTAGGTAGAAGAACATTAATCCAATCAGTGACCTTAACTATTCCATGTTACACAATGCAAACTATCTTGTTACCAAAGTCTACATGTGTAGCTATTGATAAATTGAACAGGCAATTTCTCTGGGGATTTGACTCAGAAATAAAGAAACCGCACCTAGTTAATTGGGAGACAGTTTGCATGAGTAAAGAGGAAGGCAACCTTGGCCTTCGATCAGCATGGAGCAACAATAAAGCATTTATCTCTAAGTTAGGCTGGTAGGTTTTAAATAATGCGAATTTCCTTTGGTGTAAAGCACTTCATGCCAAATACTTGAAAGAAAAATCATTTTTCGTGTACAACCTCTATCATCTTCCTTTGTGACGTGTGAAGTATTTTGAATTGTCGAGACATGACTATGATGGGGCTTGGATGGCGTGTAGGTACAGGAGACAATATAAACTTTTGGAATGATGTTTAGGTTGGTAATTTACCACTAAGGAGTCACGTGGTGGGTCTTTTAAAGAAGGACTCCTTGAATTGGTCAGTCTCACATGCCATCTTGCCTGAAAGGGAATGGAATTTAGCAGTGCTGTTAGACTTGCTTCCGAGAGCAATGGTGGAAGAAATCAAAGCAATTCCTTTAACCTCTAATGCAGAAGTCCAAGATACATTTTATTGGGTTGGAACATTAGATGGCAACTTTACTACCAAGTTTGCTTTCTCACTTATCCA